TAATAAAAATTGTAAAATATAGAAATCAATAGTATGGTCATTCAGTTATTGAAAGTGTGATATTTTATAATCAGTTATAGTTCCATTAAATGATATAAAAAAAGGCCAACTTGATTACTTTTTGATCATTTAAAATAAATAATAATGTGCATTAAATTGAATTTCATTTTCATTACATTAAAATCAGGTTGACTTTTTTCCAGATGTTGAAGTATGTTTAAAATGACTTTAGTTTTTTATAAACTGCAGTGATAGAAGCTTTATTGTGCACATATTTTGTTGCAATATAATTGGTACTTAAGTACATTAAGTAATATTAATAAAAATTCTGCGAACATTAATGTATGATAATACAAAAAAAAAAAACTAATAAAATTAATTACAGCTATTATGTAATTAATCTTACTCCATTATATTGCTTCAAAATGTCAAGAATAATAATATATAAACACACTTAATATCTAATTACCTGTTGTGTTTTCAAATTGCTTAACTTAATAGAAAAAAATACCAACCTTCTGCAAAGGGATCAACACGCTCAGGTGATATAATCATTCTCCGCCTTTTTTGTCTATATTCATCTTCTCTATCAGCTATGGTGGGTCGTCGTCTATCCGCAAAAGGATCATAATCCTTCTCACTCTGCAAGATAAAAAGATTAAACGTTATTAAACGTTATTAAATTAAAATTATTAATACCGTCAGCAACATTAATAAGTATAATATTTTTAAAATATACCTGTGCAACATCATTGAGCAATGCTGCTGGTGCAGTATATCCTGGTCTTTTGTTAGTATTAAATGTTGTAGGTTCATAATCTTCATCCTTAAATAAAAATAATATAATTATTATCATACAATGTTTCAATAAAAACAAAAAAAAATGGTATTACCTCAATTTCATCGTTTGCTGCGATAGATGTAACATAGCCTTCATATTTATTATTACTTCCGTCATAAATATCTTGATCATAGAAGCCAGTTTTTCCTAGTCCTACTTGATCCTTTTCTGTAGATGCATTTTGAATCTCTTTCTTCTTTGACTGTATTTCTCTTATTTGTGCTTCAATATCTAAAAATTGTTAATAATAATTAGCATTATATGAATCCAATCGAAATGCACATTAACATTTATCAAAGATCTGATATCAAAGCAAAGCTAAGACAATTGAGATTAAACATCAGTAAATGACACAATTTTCTTTATTACAGAATCTAATCAAAGGAATTTAGATTGAGGTTCAGCAAATATTCAATAATTAAATTACATAAATGATTGAATTTGCTACTAACAATTTACAGTAGTGCATAACTCGAATTACAAACGATAGAATTTAATGAGGAATACAATTCACAATGAACAAACCTTCGTGCGTTCTGGGGATGGAATCCATCGTGTAGCATTAAAACTTGTCGCAAAGTTATTCTAGAGAACATGTAAAACACACAGTAAAGAACTAAATTCCGCTTTTTTTTCCTTACTAATCTTTACATTGGTAATATTATAAGATGGCACAGTACCAAATATTTCCAAACTATAAAGCTGCGTTTACATGAATACTCAGCTTGGCATTAGCGTTGTGTTCAATAAAATTTGTCGTTTCATGAGAATAAGTTAAAACTTAGGTATAATACTTTTCTTCAATTCCTAGTTTTTGGAAAATTGATTACATTGCGATTATTTTTTATAAATAAAAATTCAAAATCAAAAATAGAATCAATATATTAGATTCTATTATTTGGAGGCTGATCACAACTCATAGGAATCACGCACCGAATAGTTTCTGGCGGTTTCAGTCTTCGAAAAGTTTCATATCAAAATTGAGAAAAAAAAGATCTCTAATTTTCACACGATTAACTTATTATTTGCCTATAATATGCATGTAATAAATCTGATACCTTCGACTATATTCACAATTCTGATTCAATTTTTCAACATAACTTGAACAAGAAATTTAAAATTATAAACTATTTGAATGATCATGAGTGGAACAGAATTTGTAAATCCTTATTTATGTATTTCGTAGGTCAAACGAAATATAGAAACAAAAGCACAGAGTCCAATTGAAAACGTTCATAAATTCAATTAATTTATTAGTTTTCTTTCTTGCAAGAGAAAGTTTCTATTCTGTTTCTATTTTTGTCGCACGCTAATGTACTCTTAGTCTATTAGACAAAATATACTTGTCCTTGTCACGCAATATTGTACTCCTTGTCTATGGATGTAGCGACCTTTACTTTGAAGAATTTAGATCAACGACATCTATGTTCCATCGAGATGTGTATTTAATATAAACAATAGAATATTTAAAAATAGCTATTAATTTTATTATCACCATAGAAATGTTTACTGACACTTATATATATTGTAGCCATAGTAGAAATTCTTCATT